ATATATATATTTTATTTGATTTTTTACGATTAGAGGAAGCTAGCTATCACGCAAAATTTTTTGTTTCATTATTTGTTTTACGTTGCCGTTATATTATAATTTAAAAGCAATGCAATTTCGATTCGAATTCGAGCGCCTAGAGTATCTCGCTATACATACAAAAATATTCCATAATATATTTTCTTTTATTTTATTTTATTTTATTTTGTTTTTGATTCTACTATTTATATATTCGATCAATTTTGGTGGAATCAAATTTTGTTTTTTTTTTTTTTTTTTTTTTTTTTTAACGCTTACTTTGCCGCTTTTACGGACTAACGTAAAAGAAAACAAACCCGATCGTTTTCAGATGCTGGTAGTAATCCAGAATCTGGGCCTAACTCACCGCCGACTGTTAATAATTCTCAAGCGAGTCCAACTGCTGGTAGCAACACAGCGATACAAGAGGTAACACAAATTATAAATTAATCGATAGAAAAATATTATTGGATTTTTAAAAAGAGAAAAAACAAAATGTTAAACAATTTCATTGGATTTTTTTTTTTTCATTGATTTTATATAGGAAAGCGAGAGTACGAGTTATGGTGGTCCGCTGACGAGTAGTAGTCAACAGGGAAGTCTTTCGGATCTTTCGTTATTTAGTTCACCGTCCATGCCCAATATTTCATTGGGTAGACCACAAATTCCATCCAGTTCGGCTGTAAGTCTAGATAATAATAATAATTATTATTATTATTATCTGTTTGATTACGTTTAGGTAAAAAAAAGAAAAAACATCTTATTTATATTTCAAAAATCATATCATTTATATAATATTAATGTTAACAATTGGATAAGTTCATTAATTGTGTAATTTTTATCAGCAGAGCGGATCGAAATTAGCACCGGTGTCGGAAGCGGAAGTTCGTGCCGCGTTCACAGCTCGTCTTGGTATGCCGTTGACAGGTCAAATGTTACCAGGCACCTTACCGTTTTATCCATCGTTAACGGTAATCGATGGTGATCCTACATATATTCACAAACAAATGCAAAATTTGGAACAAGTGTCAGTAGGCAGCAGACAACACCCGGTATATCCAATTACGGATACACAAGTAGCACATACGAGACTGCAGAAGGCTAGTCACCGGCCTTTAGGTAGTATGTTTTCGCTTTCTTCCCTTAACAAACAATTCCACGTGTGTGTGTGTGCTCTGTTCCGTTAAAAACAAAATAAAGAAAGAAATAAATCAAAGAATTCATCAGGAGAATCAACGCATCAAAAAAAAACACGGCATGCACATTAGCGAGTTATTGCAAACTGAACAAAGTGGTTCGTTTGAAATTAATTTGACTTTTTTTTCCCGAACGTCATCCAGGTAGAACTCAATCCGCCCCGTTACCTCTCGGTCATCCGATGTTACAAGGAGGTATGATGGCACCGCCCGCGCATTACGAGGAATACCTGATCGAGAAACAACATCAGCACGATCAACAGCAGGCGCATAATTATTTGAAACAACAGATACGTCAGACCGTATTGACGCGGGTCAGTTCTCGCGGACAGACGAATCAATTGGACGAAGCACCGGAAACCGAGGAATCCGAAGTTATAGATCTTACGGGGAAAAAGGATTTGCCTGAGGAAAGTGAAATGTCGAAGCAACAGAGGGATCGCGAACAATTTTTGCAACAGCAGAGAGATCTGATGATGAGACATACGTTGCAGACGAACGAGTCTACGGCCTATTCCGGTGGAAGGAATTCACAATCCAGACCACTGTCCAGAGCACTCTCTAGTCCGTTGGTACATTTAGGTAAGCCAGAGATATTTGATATTTAGTTTCTGTTTATTCGAAAGTAACTATAACTGATGATGATGATGAATACACCACGAGAGAGGACATTCATCGGAAGGAATCAGTAAGATATAATTATTGATTTGAACTTTCACGAAGGACCTCAGGGTGGCGGTGGTGATATGTTTGCTCGGGGTTCTCCTCATCGAGCTAACACAGGACTGGCGTATGATCAATTGATGCTAAAACACGCCTGTGTTTGTGGTGAAACTGTAAGGGGCCATCCTGAACACGGCGGTAGATTACAAAGTGTTTGGGCTAGACTATCGGAAACGGGATTGTCTCAGCGTTGCAGTAGAGTTCGTTCGCGTCAGGCTACATTAGAAGAAATCCAAACTTGTCACAGCGAGGCTCACACGCTTTTATTCGGTAATTAATAACGAATAATAATAATGTTCGCGTATTAGAACACGTATAATTTTATACCTATTTCTGTTTTAAATATGAATATATTCTTTTTACGTAGGAACGAATCCTATGAATCGTCAGAAATTAGACATGACGAAGTTTCCACAATTACCGATTATTGAATTACCTTGCGGAGGAGTAGGCGTTGATTCTGATACAACGTGGAACGAATTAAACACCGCACCTGCCGCCCGAATGGCAGTAGGATGCGTGGTAGATCTCGCTTTGAAAGCAGCTATGGGTGACATCAAGAATGGTTTTGCTGTCGTTAGACCACCCGGACATCATGCGGAGAGTAATCAAGCGATGGGCTTCTGTTTCTTCAATTCCGTAGCAATCGCTGCTCGTTTATTACAACAAAAACTCGACATCAGAAAGATATTGATTCTTGATTGGGTAATAACACAATAATACTTACCTACTTGCATTTTGAATTCCTGGTATTAATAAACCGGACATTTCGAATTATCATTCGAGGGACTTGAAACGATGAACATTTTGTAGGACGTTCATCATGGAAATGGAACTCAACATATGTTTTACGACGATCCTAGAGTACTTTATCTTTCCATACACCGACACGACGAGGGTAACTTTTTCCCCGGTACGGGAGGACCAACAGAATGTGGTACCGGCGAAGGTTTAGGATACAACGTGAACGTAGCATGGTCTGGTGGATTAAATCCACCAATGGGAGATGCCGAATATTTAGCAGCATTTCGTACGATCGTTATGCCGATCGCTAAAGTATTCGATCCTGAAATCATTCTAGTATCTGCCGGTTTCGATGCTGCCATTGGTCATCCTGCACCTCTTGGTGGTTACAAGGTCAGCCCTGCGTGTTTCGGTAGAATGACACAGCAGTTGCTAACTTTAGCAGGTGGTAAGGTTGTTCTCGCATTGGAAGGTGGCTACGATTTAGCAGCAATATGCGATTCTGCTCAGGAATGCGTAAGAGCTTTATTAGGGGATGAACCAACTCCTATTCGAGAAGATGAACTCACGCGGGCACCTTGCCAAAATGCCATTGATACATTACAAAAGACTATAGCCATTCAGGTAATTAATAATAATCATCATTTTTATAATGAAACATCTAATCTGTTTTATTTCATTTTATTCTATATCTTATAAAACAGATGTCTCATTGGCAATGTGTTAAACTCTTCGCTCATACCGTTGGTATGAGTGCAATAGAGGCAAGTCAGAAGGAACACGATGAAACGGAAACAGTATCTGCGATGGCTTCGCTTTCAATGCAACAGCCTACGAACCTTACGTTAGTATCACATTTAAAAAGTCTAGCAATTATTTGACTTTATTCTGATAATTATATTTAACATTTATTTTCATGTATTATTTAACCAGAATCTACAACAAGATCTATGAAAGACAGTTACAAATATTAAACGCGAAAGCATCCACTTAATTTGTTTTTCTTGCAGAACTACACCGGATCATTCCCGAGAAGTCTCCGAAGAACCAATGGAACAAGACGAGGCAAAATGAAGCGTACTCGTTAGATGTTAGTGATCAACCGATCATCTTGAGAAACGAGTTGACGAGAAAAAGAAGAAGAAATGTCGTGACCACCCGGCGGAGGAGGGAGGGGTAGGACGACCGGAAGAAATAATCGGAGAAAAACGAGATAGTCTCGTTTTTTTTTTATCTATGGATAAAATGTAGTTCATGGATTCGGTATGTTGTTTCACTTGGAAAGATAAATCCATGAAAAAGTCTACGGTGATGAGATCGTCGACGTGTTGTTTCTGGCTGGCTTGCTAAGTCGTCGACGACGTTTTATGATGCCGCCGGTTATTTAAAAGACAACTACACTAACCATTGGAAATAAAAATTTGTGAAATTTTTGTCGAGTTACTACTACTACTACTATTACTACTACTACTACTACTACTATTACTACACTACTACTACTACTACTACTACTACTACTACTACTACTATCGTCGTTGTTCATGAACGAGTTGTGTACTAAAAAACGCGAGTACTATCCGTGTAAGATTACTACGAGCGAAAAGAGCGAGCCGTTGTTGTTGTTTGTCGCTTCTTATTGGGTAATCTAACTTTTCTTCTTTTTTATTCTTTTCATTTTTTTTTTCTTTTCATTTTACTCAATTGTCTCTTCTTCCATCTCACATAGGAGTATGCTACTAAGATCCATTTTTTCGTTCTAAAAAAAGAAGTTGTATAACTGGTGTAGGAATAGTTTTATTCACACGAAACAAAAAAAAAAAAAAAAGAAAGGTTCGTACGGACGAAAAAAATGGTTTTTCGGTCCCCTCCTTTCATATTGGAAGCCTTTTATTAAAAAAATCTTCTTACCAGTGTCTTAATAATTAACAACGAAGGATCCCAAGGTTTGAGATAAGAGACAAACAAAAACCGTCAACTGGCACCAACATAATTCTCTTATTTAATAATAATAATATATATAGAGTTAATCAAAAAGTATTGACTCCCATGACAATTAATAATAATAATAATAATAATAATAATAATATCAGGCTTGACGTTCAATAATAATGCATCGAAGTTAAAAAACAACTTTAATATTTTTTCTTCTCCTATCATTTTTTAAAATATATAATTATTCCCTTTTCGAAGAATTGTGTTACGTGTCGTTGACAGTGTTTGGAACGTGCTTGTTAAGGAAACAAAAAAAAGTATATATATAACAAAACAAAAAATAACAAAAAAAATAATAATACAATCTTATGCTTATCGTACTTGCTTTTCATCTACATTATGAAATCGTATTTTACATCTTATACGTGAATACAAAAATTATAAAGTAAGCGGTAACGAGAAAGAAGAATAAGAAGAAGAAGATGAAGAAGAGGGAAGATCAATTGAGAAAAACAAATTGCATATAAAATAAAAGGCTTCGCGAGCAAATAGAAAAATAATTGTCACACTTTTGTGCAATGAATTGTAACAATTTTTTTTCTGATATATTAATATATTGTAGTGTGGTGGTTTGTGTGGAGGAGGGGGTGTTGTATATTGTGCATCAAAGAAACCTGTTGCCATTATTGAATGGTAAACAATTTGTTGCAAACACCACAGTTCGTCGTAAACATTTTTATGTACTTTCATATTTTAACCCTTTGACTTCAGTGCATTCTATTAACAGAAAATTATTCGCTGTGTGTTGTTGCGATACAATGGAATTCGCATAAGAGTACGTTAAATATTATATTCATTATTATATATTATTCACACATTCATTATTATTTAATTGGTTGCTGTGCAACATATTGTTAAACCATAATCTCATCGGATTCTGTTATCATATTTATATTGTTTTAATAAAACAGTATAAATGTTTTGTTCCGTGTATATAATATGACATTTTACTATCAAAGGGATTGAAATAAGGTACGAAAAGGATGACCCTTTTCTTTTGAACGAATTTGTTTTGATCATTGCACATTGTTATAAATTTATTTCGTTAGCTCTCACTTTTTCTTATGCGCGCGAAGCCTTCTTGCATTTTGTTTTGCTGGATTGCATTCAAATCAGAATTTGATTAAGTGTGTATTAAAAAGACAGTAGAGTTTAAAGATGATGATGATGATGATGATGATGATGATGATACATTGTTCGTCTTCTGCCAAAAGGAAACAAAAGTAAGTAAGAAAGAAAGAAAGAATAGAAAAGAAAAGAAAAGAAAAAAAATACGAAAAAAGAAAATTAAAAAGAAAAAAAAAATAACAAGAAAAAAAATATGACTAAGATACTACTACGTGCGTTGTGCTGGTCACTGGCGCTTTGTTTTCACCTATATATAAATACATACATACATACATACGTACATATATGATTTTAATCTGTTTAAAAAACATTCTCATTGTCGAAAAATGAAGAAGAAGAAGAAGAAGCTGTCACAATACAGCCGGAAGTCCTCGTGAACGGTATATAAATAATAGTGTAACTGTGAACAAGATTTTTGTATTATTTGTGTAACATAACGGACGAATTTAATGAAATGGTAGTAGTTAAATAATCCTCTATAAAATTTCATGGTTTACTTTTCTATATAATTTAAACATTGTATATTTGTTTAATTATTATATTTTATTTTATTTTATCGTCCAAGTCACAATTTTGCTATTAGAGCTCCGTGTATATTAAAAGTTAATATAATATTGTTTTAAATATAAGTTGTTAAATACGCAACAAAAAGTATCTATCCACGTTAGATAACATTTATTTTTATTTAACACGAAAATATATAAATTCAATATAATTATATAGAGGGTTAAAAAGAAGTGCATTTTTAGCGTGCTCGTATTTTTGGCGTTAAGAAGAGACACCATCTTCGTGTCTTATATTTGAAAAAAAAAAAAAAAAAAAAAAAGGAATATAATATGACAAAGAAGTTTAAAGAACTTTGTTGTTGAATGATGAATTTGATAAAAAAAGAAAAAGAAAAGTTTTCTTCTTGAGAGAGAAACCTTGTAAATTTTATGCACAATCACAAGTCTATTTATACTCATTAAATAATATAATATTAATAATAATGCGAAGGGAGAAGGGCTATACTGTGCTCAAATGTGTGTTTGTAAAATAATTTATGAATCGTCGTACGACGTTTCCTCTTTATCTAATTGGAATGATTGATTGATTGTTCATTTTGTTCGCTTTAAGATATATATGATATTTGTAATGCGATCGAGAATCGAACTATTTACTTGTATAATTAATTAATTTTAACGCAACACGATGTGTGCATGCTCGATTTTATATCTCTTTGAGAAAGGAAAAAAGAAAAAAATAGTACAAAAAAGCGCAAAAAATTCTATTTAAAACTAATGATTAAATTGAATCGAGACACATTTAATTATTTAAGGATAAAACAAATTTTATTATTCGATATATTTTTAAACAAATAATACAAATATCAAGTGCGCGTCCCTATATATATATATATTATATATATATATATATATTTGTTAATAGTTTCTCATGTGTTTTTTCTAATGCTTGCAATTGTAATTTGTTAAACAATTGCTAGGCGAGCGAGCCCACTGCCAAATTGTGAACACATGGCATTAATGTATAACCACATATACGTGTATTGTAACGTTATGTTTTTTTTGTTTTTTTTCGAGCATGCAAAGATGCACCGATGTATTATTACCTACTCTCCCCCATCACACCCCCTTGTAATCTGTTACTTCATTTTAATGATGTTTTAAATATCCTGACCACGGATAAATGTTCTTATACGATTATTAGATTGTCCCCATTTTTCTTTTTTGTGGTATATTTTGTGTAAGTTTATAAAGAAGAAGAAGAAGAAAAAGAAGAAGAAGAAACCTTTCACGATGATTTCATTTCTTACTACGGACAAAGGCTGGTGTGATTTTTGTGATATTTTGTAAAAAGAGGTTTATTAACGTATGGTTAATGAAAATGATGATGAAGAAGAAGAATAAGAAAAGAGGGTGCGTATAATCAGCCCTCAAACTGTTGCTGAGGAATGCGGGAGAGTTAGATAGAATGTTAGAAAGAAAATAAAAAACAGAATGAGTGAGAGTTTAGTAGTCAGAGAGAGAGAAAGAAAAAAAAAAAAAAGAAAATAAAAGTAACGATGCCGGTGAGACGGAGAATAGAGGAGAAAAATAAAATATACTTCAGATACAAGCATTTATTTTTGTGTCGTGCATTTTACGAAAGCAGAGATGAATTTAAAATAACGTTTATTGATTATAATAATAATAATAATAATAATAATAATACAAAAAAAAGAACGAATTAGATGAATATATTGTATATGTAAAGTGTTTGGTATACAAACGAAATAAAAAAAAAATATATATATATGAAATACATAAATATATATTATATATTATATAATAAATATAAAATTTATATTTATTATAATTTATTATAATATTATATAAATATAAATATATATTATATAATATATATTTATGTACATTGTATAGCTGTATATCTTACGAAAAGAAAACAAAAGGGTATATCGTTATATTGCAAGAATCTCAAGTGTCTGTTCAATGTTGTCCCTAGAAATGTAACACAAATGAAAGAGAAAGAGAGAGAGAAAGAAAGAAAGAAAGAAAGAAAGAAAGGAAGGAAGTCAAACGGATATAACAAGAGCAATGATGTTAAATTATATCGACAAGTTAATTTGCAGTGTATTTTAAATACGAGCCCAGTCTATGTGTGTGTGTATACATCATATTACTGATAACAATCTAACCGAGGATAAACTTACAATAATTTTTTTCTATAAGAAGTGATCGAGTTTAAGTGTATAATAATCATTCGTAATGCGTAATAAGTCATCGGATGATTTAAATTGATTTTATTGTAACATTATGGAAAATAATATCCCATATACATATATATATATATTTAGACACAATTATTGTATTTAACTTAAATTATAATTTAAGAACGTAGTCGAATGATGAAAACACGGCTCGTTGTGATTGTTTTTAATATGCGATCATAGTTGCGTTGATAATATATTATGCAGGTGCGAAACTCGAACTTTTTGTACAATACAAATTTAATTGCGACGATATATTTTTATTTTCGTCGTATAATATAGGCCTACTTAAAATGTAATTCACTAAATATGGCCAGTGAATAATGATGCAAAGACGGTACTGCGTCCTTCTTTTCTTTTCTTTTCATTTGATTTCACTTAATCCTTCGCTCTTTTTTCTTATTCTATTTCTTTTTCTTTTGTTTACTTTGATTGATCTTACTTTTAGATTTGTATTCTATTATTTGATAAATTATTTTTAATTATTAATCACAATCGTTCGAGAATTATGTGAAAAAGTTTTTTTTTTTTTTGTTCAACGATAGGAGGAAAAGAAAACCGATAACACATTCCTGTATCATTTATAACGGAGCGATACAAATTAGATATAAGTGATATTATGCTACATTAAATGCAAAATATAACATGAAGATAACCGTTATAAGAGAATATTGTTACATGGATGCGAATATGATGTCTTTAAAGCATAAGTTTAATGCAATAGCTATACATTTTTTATGTATATAAATGTACTTCGTAATATAATTTTAAATAAAAAGTATAGTCAATTGTGTTAAATGATGATGTAGAGCCTCTGGCTGATTATAACTTACGGTACCATAATGATTTACTTAATATTAGATTGAAGTTAAACACAATATATATGATCAGATTTTTTTTTATAGCTTCATTATTTTATTTCGTATATAGTATCAGAGAATAAAATATAATTTTCTGTAATATTACAATTAATAATATTACAACAAGAACAATAGGTTCTATATTTTTCATAAGAGTAATTGAAACAATTATCAATGTTTTGTCATAAATATGTTCTACGTAAAGATTCCTTAATGCTTAAATTATAATTTTTCTTAAAAATATATTCTACATACTTAAAATTTAACATTTCACTTCAATATGATTGATTATAAAGACAATTATTTAATTCAAAAGGTGAGCAAGTAAGCAACTCGAGTAACATATTTTATATGCTATACATTCCATTTCAAGTAAAATCAAGCCAAAGACAGCTTACCATAAAAATTAAAATTATAATTAGTTTCTTTTAACTTCTTAATTAATACCACATATTTTTTTATTCATTTCCTTGGTTCCTTCTATCCATTTCATATACAGAAACTAATTACTTTACAATTAATTGTTTTATAAATATTTATTATCTCAATATTTTTTTATAGATTTATACAACTAATATTATCGAAAACTATAAATAATATTGAATAACATGGAAAAATATAAATAAATATATCTATCAATATATTTATTATATGTATATATACTGTGAAACGCATTTAAATGCCACCCTCCAATCAGAATTTTGACGTTTTTCTAAAATCCAATGGGAATCCAGATTTTCAGGTGATTTAAATTATTCTCGCGACGTCACAAAACTGAAAGATTTGTAACAGGAGCGCATGATGATAAAAGAGGTATTCGAAGTACAGAGTTTGACGCTGAAAGCAAGAGCGCTGATTGGTTGATTATAGCCAATCAGCTTTTAATAGACGCCCAGCATCATTGTCATTGGTTAATTATTAAAAAATTAATTAAATACACTTCCACACACAAATTATAAACAATTAGCCATTCAAAATACTCTACAGACTTTAAAAAATAATATGATTTCATAAAAATATACAAAAAAGCTTCAGAAAATACTTTTTCATAGATGACTATAATGATCTATTAACCTAGATGTTAGTCACTCATTAACAAATTAATTTTATATACTTCTCTAGAAATCAAAAGTTAAACTTTTAAGCACTTGGAATACTCTACAGACTCCAAAGAATAGTATAATATCATAAAAGTTTATAAAATATGTTTTAGAAATAATAATTTTCATAAAAAAAGTCGTGGTAATATTACACATTAACCTTGACTCTAGGCACTCATTAACGCTTAATTTGTTTAATTTTCAAGCATAAATTATATACATTTATATATTTGACCGAAAAGTTCTGATGGTAGGGTAGAAAACTTACCGACTGCGAAGATCAGATGGTAAACTTACCGACAGTCAGTAGATCGCGTGGAAGGTTACCATCCGATCTTTGCAGTCGGTAAGTTTTCTACCCTACCATCAGAACTTTTCGGTCGGTAAGTTGAATTACCTCCTGATACCTCTTCTATCATCATGCGCTCCTGTTACAAATCTTTAATTTTTGTGACGTCGCGAGAATAATTTAAATCCCCGGAACATCTGAATTCCCATTGGATTTTAGAAAAACGTCAAAATTTTGATTCGAGGGTGGCATTTAAATGCCTTTCACAGTATATATACATATAGTAAATATATTGATTGATACATTTATTTATATATTTTCTCAAGTTATTTAATATTATTTATAGTAATCTATAATATAAGTTCTATTAATCTATAAAAAAATATTGAGATATATAATTAATAATTATAAAACAATTAATTGTAAAGTAATTTGTTTCTGTATATGAAATGGATAGAAGGAACCAAAGAAAGGAATAAAAAAAGATNATATATAATTAATAATTATAAAACAATTAATTGTAAAGTAATTTGTTTCTGTATATGAAATGGATAGAAGGAACCAAAGAAAGGAATAAAAAAATATGTGGATTTAATTAAGAAGTTAAAAAAAACTAATTACAATTTTAATGTTTATGGTAAGCTGTCTTTGGCTTGATTTTACTTGAAATGGAATGTGTAGCATATAAAATATGTTACTGGAGTAGCTTACTTGCTCACCGTTTGAATTAAATAATTGTATTTATAATCAATCATATTCAAGTGAAATGTTAAAGTTTAAGTATGTACAATATATTTTTAAGAAAAATTATAATTTAATCATTAAGGAATCTTTACGTAAGACAAGCGAACTTTCTTTATATCCGGCTAATAATTTTTTTTCGTTTCTTTTTATATTTAAATGAAACTGTACAAAATATATATATGAATTTGTTATTTGAAATAATGAATCGTTAAATCTTTTCGGTTTCACGTAAAATTTCCAAGTATTAATTAACGTATCTATTTATTGTCAAATAAAATAAAGAAAAGAAAAGGTCAATATTTTTTGGATAAAAAGATTATTAAAAATATACATAATTGTAAACAGGTAACATATTGTTTCTAATATAACGTACGATATATCATATATTTTATATTGAATATATTAATATTATTATCTCATCTAAACGAATTAGATTAGTATATTTTTTATTCTTTTTTAATAAAAAAAAAAAAATAAAACTCGACATATAGAATAAAATTTGAAACCTATGTCAAAATAAATAATAGAAAATACTCGAAGAGATAAAATGTAGGAAACGAAGTATCTGTAATAATTTCGAAAGATAACGCAGGTCGTAACACTTTATTTGGTTCATCCCGTATGGTTTAGCATATTTGCTTACATACATACACACCATACATACATACATAAAAGAAATGAGTTTCTCTAAAGAGTGTGTATAGTATTTACCCGAGCGAAAAGTCGTAAATCACAGACAGCACCGATGTTGCTTTGCGGAAGCAAATCCTATAGCAAACGAGAAAAAAAGAAAGAAAAAAAGAAAGAGATAGATAGATACTTTTTAAACGGGGTGTAAGCAAACGAAAAATGCAGTTCATTATCGTTTCATTCGTTAAAAAATAATTCACGTTTTATTCGGTTTTAACCTAATCGTTCGAGATTGATTCTGCCATATTTATCCGAGAAAGATAATACTAGCGTAATTTTACTTACTCAGAAGAAATTCTTCGAAGATATATATATTTTTTTATTTTTACTACTACTATTATTATTACGTAGATAATAGGTTTATCGAACGCGTGAACGTGTATTGGTGGTGGTGGTGGTGGTGGTGTTCACGCGAGAAAAGATCTGAGAAATGAAATGACGACGGTATGCACTTACATTTTTGAACAAGATAGAAAGAGTAGGAATGAAAATCCGTTGAACTATGAACGAACGAACACCTGCTACCGTACGTTTTACGAGATTTCTAGAATCTCGATGGATAATCTTCTGAAGAACGGTCGAAGAACTATCTTTGGTATAACTGTGTGATGTAAGTAAAGATTCCAATCAAAGTTTCATAGTTTCTCAATCCTTACGTTACCTGTGTTACGACTAATTTTTCTTTAATAATAATACGGTAAATAAAAAATAAATACTTGATTTAAATATGACAAAAGTATATTTTAAACATCGTTAAGAACAAATTA